TGCTTTTCATGTCTGATGTGAATAGAAAGAAATAAGCTACTTTTCGGATATGTATGAAATAACCAGTTTTAAGACGAAAGTGAGAGAGCTTGAAAATTCATTAACATACCAAATTTAATTCTGACAGCACCTCATGGTAGGAGTTTTCTGATTGCCTAGATGTTTTGAAATTTAAAGTTTACTGTTTGAAAAAAAAAATGATGCCACCAGTAAGTTAATGTTAAAATTGCCTGATGTGAAATGTTGTATTGTAAGGTTGTACAGCTGCTAACAACATAACGTTGAAATATTAGTGACTTTATATCAGTATCATGTATTTTTTCGAGTGAAAATTTTGAATTTTGAGCTGAATGAGCTTCATTTGCAGGAGCTTTTGACTTATTTCTTTTATTTGAAGAAATCTGCAGCTGACGTGCATCAGTTGCTTGCAAAAGCATATGGCGAGGCTAGTGCAGAAGCACGTGGTGAGGAAGTGAGAGAAGTTGTTGTGAGTTGTTTCAAAATTTTAAGAACATTGAATTTCACATCAAAGACAAAATGGAGCGGAGGGATGAAAGTGGATGAAAACATGGAGTTGGAAAAATTATTGGATGAAGATTAGTGCCAAACACAAGTAGAACTTGCATGTACATTAGGAGTGACGCAATAAGCAATTTCATGTCATTTAAAATCATTAGAAATGATTCAAAATCAAGGAAATTGGGTCCCATTTGAACTGAAGCCAAGAAACGTTGATTTTTTACATGTCAGCTGCTACTTGCTAGGCACAAACAAGAGGGTTTTTTTACATCATATAGTCACTGGTGATGAAAATGGATTCACTACGATACCCTAAAGAAGAAATCGGGGACCACCTGACCAACCTTCAGCATTGGCAGCCGAGCCAAATATTCATTAAAAAAAATCGTGTAATGTATATGGTGAAATCAACTTGGTGTGACCTATTATGGTTTACTCAAACTGAACGAAACCATTACTGGGGCTTTCTACCAAACACAACTGATGAGACTAAGCTGAGCAGTCGAATAAATTATTCTCCTGCTTGATAACGCTCATCTGCATGTTGTGGCACCGGTCAAAGGTATTCAAATTTAGAAGCATTCAAATGAGAATTTTCCCCCCTCCTGCTGTATTCACCAGACATCGTTCCTTCTGATTTTTGCTTGTTTCGATTGATGATGTATGGCATCTCTGAGCAAAGCTTCGCATTGTTTGAAGATACCAAAAAATTGGGTGAATTTATAGATAGCCTTGAAAGCATTCTTTTGATGTTGTATCCATATGCTGCGAGAAAGATGATGATGGACATTGAATAAAACATAACATACCATTCTTTCACAATAAATGATCAGTGTTTTGATAAAAAAAGGGTGGGGACTTATTTGCACTCCTGATATATATATACAGTCAAAAGTCGTTAATCCGGACTCGTCGGGACTTCGGCGATTCCGGATTATCGATTTTCCGGATTATAGATCATCAGTTTAAATCTGGTAAGATGGCATGTAAAAATTACAAAATTAAAAATATGAAACCGTAATTTATGAAATAAAGAACAATTATGATCTAAAAGGTATCAAAATTTACAAAAAGAAAAAACTTAATATTTATTTGTTTACTTTATTAAACATTTCCTTCAATGTAAGTTGCTTCGTTTCATGTGATAATACTTTCTCTTTAATTCTATTAAACAGACATAATTTCTTGTTTAGTTACAAAGTTCCGCTGTTCAAGTCCTATAATTGCTGTGTTGAGAATACCGACTAATTTGTCAATCGAAATGTTTTCAATAACCTCTGGGTCACTTTCTTCACTGTCGGAAGCGAATTATAATGACGAGGAACTTGATTTAAATCATATCAAAGACGGAGTACATCGAGATGAAATACTAAACTTAGTACGGAATTATAACCCAAATAAAATAAAAACATCTGCTCTGAAGATAAGGATAGTGTTGACAGATCAACTTCCAATCCGCGGCGTGAAATTGATAAACAGATTTCTGATTTCAAAACATACTTTCGCTTTGTAGATACAAATTACATATTAGTAAATATATATTGGAAATTCTATTTGACATAATCTTTCTAATCTATTATAATCTAATAATGACGTTTCTGCCCCCCCCCTTCTGCCGCAGAGCAGCGTGAAATTGATAAACAGATTTCGGATTTCAAAACATACTTTCGCTTTGTAGTAAATATATATCGGAAAAATCTATTTGACATAATCGAAAGTTCAAGCTTACTTTTATAAAATTGCTCTAATAGTCTGCAAAAGATAATAAGCCGGATCCAATTCGAAGATTAAGGAACAACGCAATCTGCAACATTAACTGAATTAGATAACTTTAGCTTAGCGTATAACTCCGTTACACATTAAACGCGCATGCGCACAAACATATTCGCAGCCATAAGGGTCTTACGCGCTCTCGTAAACGCAGCTTTGAGGTCCGGATTATAGATCATTCCGGATTATGGGTGTCCGAATTAACGACTTTTGACTGTATTTATATTGTTAATTGTAATAAATATAAAACCTATGGCTAATATTTTTAATTGTAATAAATATAAAACTTATGGCTAATACAGTCAAAAGACTTTAATCCGGACTCGTCGGGACTTCAGCGATTCCGGATTATCGGTTTTTCGAAGTGCGAATTTGACCAAAAAAAAGCTTGCACAAGGAAACATCTGACACTGTTTGAGGAGCTTTATGTATGCTTAAAGTAAATAATTTTGTTCCATATGTAACTTAGTCAAATGCAATTATTTTTCAAATATATATATATATATTTATAAGGCAAGCCATAAGGTGTAAATACAGTCAAAAGTCTGTAATCCAGACTCGTTGGGACGGCGGTTCCGGATTTTCGGTTTTTCCGGATTATAGATCATAAGTTTAAATGTGGTAAGATGGCATGCAGAAATTATAAAATTAAAAATATGAAACTGTAATTTATGAAATAAAGAGCAATTATGATCTAAAGGGTATAAAAATTTACAAAAAAAAGCTTTATATCTATTTGTTTACTTTATTAAAAATTTCTTTCAACATGCGCGTACGTAAAGCATACATTACGCATAGTCGAAATTAGAAAATTGCAACCAGAAAACTATTTGATGTGTATTCGTGATATTTATAATGATGAGGAATTTGATTTAAATCATATCAAAGACGAAGTACATCAAGATGAAATACTGCATTTAGTAAGGAATTATAAGCCGAATAAAATTTGGCCTTTGCCAGCTCCAGAATCAGACATTCTTTTTGACATAATCGAAAGTTCAAGCTTACTTTTATAAAATTGCTCTAACAGTCTGCAAAAAATAATACAATGCAATCTGCAGCATTAACTGAAATAGATAATTTTAGCTTAGCTTATACCGTCTGTTATACATTAAACATGCATGTGTAAACATATGTACATGTGTAAACGCATATGCTCATGCGTAAAGGTATTATGCGCATGCACAGAAAGTTTGTAGCTTTGATGTCCGGATTATAGATCATTCCAGATTATGGACGTCCGGATTAAAAACTTTTCACTGTACTGTTAATTGTAATAAATATAAAACCTATGGCTAATATTGTTAATTGTAATAAATATAAAAACTATGGCTAATATTGTTAATTGTAATAAATATAAAACCTATGGCTAATATTGTTAATTATAATAAGTATAAAACCTGTGGCTAATATTGTTAATTGTAATAAATATAAAACCTATAGCTGATTAACAGCCATAGGTTTTATATTTATTACAATTAACATACATTTATTACAATGTTGTATAAATATTTTTTAATACAGTCAAAAGTCGTTAATCCGGACTCATCGGGACTTCGGCGATTACGGATTATCGATTTTTCTGGATTATAGATCATCAGTTTAAATCTGGTAAGATGGCATGCAGAAATTATAAAATAAAAAATATGAAACAGTAATTTATGAAATAAAGAACATTTATGATCTAAAGGGTATAAAAATTTACAAAAAAAAAAAAAAAAAAAAAAAAAAAGCTTAATGTTTATTTGTTTACTTTATTAAACATTTCTTTCAATGCAAGTTGTTTAAGTTGCTTCAATTTGTGTAATAATACTTTGTCTTTGATTCTATAAACAGACATAATTTCTTCTTCAGTTACAAAGTTCCCCTGTACAAGTCCTATAATTACTGTGTCGAGAATACCGACTAATTTGTCAATCGAAATTTGTTTGTTTTCAATAAATTCTGTGTCACTTTCTTCACTATCGAAAACGAATTATAATGACAAGGAATTTGATTTAAATGATATCAAAGACGGAGTACATTGAGATGAAATACTACATTTAGTAAGGAATTATAAGCTAAATAAAATAAAAACATCTGCCCTGAAGATAAGGATAGTGCTGACAGATCAACTTCCAATTCATTGCGCGCCACGGTGTTAAAGATAAACAATGTTTAGATAAACAAACGTTAAAGTTTAGATAAACAAAGGATATGCCTTTATCCATTTTTTGCAGCAATTCCACTTTTTGTTTTATGGACTTTGAAACATACTTTCGCTTTGTAGAGCCTTTACATATTAGTAAATATATATCAGAGATTCTATTTGACATAATCGAAAGTTCAAGCTTACTTTTATAAAATTGCTCTAACAGTCTGCAAAAAGTAATGAGCCGAATCCAATTCGAAGATTAAGGAACAACGCAATCTGCAACATTAACTGAATTAGATAATTTTAGCTTAGCTTATGCCGTCCGTTATACATTAAACGCGCATTCGTAAACGTATTTTGCACACGCGCACACGCATATTCGCAGTCGTAAAGGTCTTACACGCATGCGTCAACGCGACGCATGCGCAGAAAGTTTGTAGCTTTGAGGTCCGAATTAACGACTTTTGACTGTATATGCAGTAATAAATAATTTAGTTGGTTGTATATTGTATATTTATTATACATGTTTAAGTATTATTTCATGAGAACTAAAATAATGTTAAACTTTTGCTGTTAGGTAAGGATTCTTTGAATGTTCTTAATGTTCCTGTAGTACAACGTGGAAAGCATGAACAGTTGCTGTCTTTAATGCTCAAGTTACAAGTCTTTATATCTGATTTTATTAGACAGTTATCAGATTTATTTACTTTTATGATACAACGACTGTGTTCTTCTTCATCTGATTTAAGCATTAAACCGGTTGTCAACAAGGTAAATTAAAAAATTTTGATAAAATATTCTTGTTGTGCTGTGGTTAATTTATATAGTAATTTTATTTAGAGACCAGTTTTTGCCATATCCTGCATGATATGATTGGTAGTCTATCTGAGGTGACTCAGTTTGTAAATATCCTATCCAAACAATATTTTTGTTTGTGTGCACGCATATGCTAATTAATTAGATGCTAACAGTTATAATAGGATATTTTCTATAAATTTAAATATATTTAAATCAAAAGGAAAGGATATATTTCTATTCATATTTCATTTGAAAAGTTGCTACTATATGTATAGTTAGATTACTATTTTAATGGAAAACAAAAATAGCTTAAAGAGCTTCTAGAAAGGAAAATAAAGTAATTCATAAGAAAGAAGTAAAACAGTTAGTGCTTGCCTTACCACTATATTGTTAATAATTTTGTTTTTCTAAGAAATATTCCTACATTATTTCTTCAGATGATGATTAAAAAAATGAAACGTAATTTAATTTAAAAATGAAATATAATAATGATTTTATGTAACAATGCCCTGTTTGCCTAAATGTTTTAGGCCCTATCTTGTTAGAGTTTTTTCCCTAAAAGTTTCTATGACTTGAGATATGAATTTTGGTAATATTCCAAATTCTTAAACTTGCACTATACCAAAATATGAAAATTTATGACTTGGGTGTAAAGACTTGTAGGATTTATTGTTTCCTAGACGTTTGATGTCCTGAGATAACTTGAGAATCCGATTGTGATCTCATTTATTTTTTAGTAAAATTTTTCCATACTTTTGGTTTGGAACTCTGCAATTTGTTGCTGTCTTTTTTTAGAATTTTGCTATTTCAGTGCTATTAAATTTTTTCTATTGTACATTTTTTGGTGTCTTTTCACAGATAGAATTCTCATTATATAATCTATTTATATTTATTTTTAGTTAGAACTACATTTACGTGAAAGCATACAAAATCTTAAAATAATTCCTCTTAGTTTTGAAAACATTACAAGTGCTCTTAAATCTGAAACCTTGGCATGGGTGAGTATTATTAATATTCCTTTGAAATTGATTTAAACCATTATATTTTACTGAAGATTTTTTTCCCAGATAGTATATAAAAGCTGTGAGAAATGAAAAAACATTTCTGTAATTTTTTAAAAATATTTTCTATGTTGTGTGTTCACTAACATTTAATCAACGAAGAAAGTGAATAACTCATGAATGGTTTAATAGTTGCCATTAACGTTTGAATTTTGTCATAATATTCAAGTATATTGGCAGCATCACTAGTATCTTCTTCACCCACATAAAAAAAGAAAAAAAAAAAAAAAAGGAATTATTATATAGCTGAATGAATGCTTTCAAGTTGCTAACAAAGCACAAGAACGGGTTGTGATTATTTTATTTCATGTTACATAGCTTGAGTGGAATGTTTAAAACAGCAGACCTTATTTTCAGTCAACTGAAAGGATATTTCAGTGCTTCCACATGCAACCAAATTGAGCAAATTCTGTTTGCTCACTCATAGGTAAAGGTTTTTCAATACAAAAAATATTTTAAATCATACATAGGAAAACTAAGGCTCCTATGCCCTTCTTCTTAATCAGGCCGTTATAAATGAAATAGCTGAAAAAATTTACACCACCAGAGACTTGATGTGAGCAAAATAGATGGACCAAAATATACTAAGACTAGAAAAAGTAACACTGTTAAACTTGTCATTAGCTTTGTCCAAATGTTAAAAAATCAAAATAGCTAACAAAATTCTGAACACTGCCAAACTAAAGGCAATCCTGAACCAATGTAGAACCATCTACACAGACTGTAGATGAAAATTTAATTAATGCAAGTAATGCTGCTGAAAATAATGTGATTAAACCCAATAGAAAAACCAATAATCAAGGCCAAGTCACTGACTTTTGTAAAGTTTTTTGAGTTCATGTCTGAAATGAACCAAATCTTTAGTAAAATTAAACTAATCACAATGAACAAATCTTTTAAGAAATTTATGCCTAAACTTTGGTCATGTGTTACTGATATTGACAAAATGTATATTTTCTTTGAAATAGCCTCTGAACATTATAATTATAGTAATGAATAAGTTTAACAATTCTCTTTTAATTGTCACATGGATTGCAAATGGCCTGTTCCAGAAAAGTTAAGAACTTAATTTATACATGAGTATAGTTTGATTATTATTCTCCTCCAAGAACACGTGCTTGGCCTGCATAATTATTTTTACGCTCCAAGTTATGTTACTCATCGACTGGATTGCTCAAAGGCCTGTTATTGGTGGAAATGCCCATGGAGATCTCCTACTATTAGTAAAATGCTCCATTCCTCATTACAGTATAACATTACCACAGCTTTTAGCCATAGAGGCACTAGCTATTACAATCACACCACACATTTCAGTGTACATTCACTGTTATCCCCAGCTATATTTTATCCAGAAATTAAGTCAGAGTTGTGTATAAAGATATGCAGTCTCTGTTGAACATAAATATTCATATTATTATAGCTATAGATATTAATGCACACCACAGATCGTGGAACTACACTACTCTTAATAGATACAGTAACTTAATATACGACTTCGCCATTAAGGCTAACCTGCCTACTGCAGCTCCAAGCTACCCAGTACACTATAGTACTGGTAGTCTGGGCATTTGGAATTTTTTCCTGCTAAAAATTATTACTGCTCTAACTTATATTGAAAGAATTAACAAGCTGTATCTGACTATAACACTGTTATGTCCAAATTTAATATCGATAGCTATAGTACATCACTCAAAAGAGCCCTTATTACTAACTGGAATGGATATTCCAAAGCTCTAAGCAACATTCAGCACACTTAACCCACGATACATATGAGGAATGAGTTAGATGTTATAACTAATGCTTTCATGGAACTTCAAACTGCAGTCTACAAAAACAGCACTGAAGTCCCAGCCATGAGAAGATTTAAAAATCCAGCTATCAGAGAATTGATTAAACAAAGAAACAGAGCATGCAAAATTTGGCAACAGTCTCTCTGCTATGACGACAAATGTTTGATGAACCACCTCAGTTATGAAGTCAGATCCCTTATTAAAAGCATGCACAGCTTAACTGGAACAGATGTTTAGAATCACTCTCCAGTGATGACAATTCTATCTGGAGCCACAGTTTCTAAGTATAAAAAATGCTATGCAAATATAGCCCCCTTTAATGGGGAATTGCTTACATTGAAACTGAGAAAGTTGATTCACTAATTGATAATTATTCTTCTCAGTTTGGCATCAAAATCTTTCACCCTCACAGAACATGCCACAAATAGTGCTGATATCCAATTATTAACGCAGCCATGATGAAACAACATCTCTCTGGTTATGCATTTGGAAATTTAAAGTTACATTGAAAAATGGAAGACCATAAAAAGCTCTGGCCTGGATGTAGTATCAGTATGAAGATGATCAAAGAAATGGGTGCCTTCAGGTTATTCAAGTTTATCAAAGTCATCAGTACTGTATTCCATCTTCAGTATTTTCCCAGACCATTAGAAAACGTCGATAATTGTGCCAATCTCGAAGTCTGAAAGGGAGCCAACATAACCTTCATCATATCAATCAGTAAGTCTTCTCTCTTGCTAAACAAGATTGCTGAGGCTGTCATCCTGCACAGAATGCTTGAATTTATAGAATCAAAGAATGTAATTATATCACAATATGGATTCAGAGGAAAGCATTCTACAAGCCATTAATTATACAGAGTGACAGAGCCTATTTCCAGAAGGTTATGAAATCGACAAATCACTGTACGCTGTTTCAAAACATTTCTAAGGCTTTTGAGTGTGTATGGCCAGAAGGGTTACTGTTCAGACTAATTACCATGGGATATCCAGGATACATCATACACATTATTAATTCATGTCTTAAACATATTATGTCATTTGCTACAACAATTATTAATCTGCACACCGTCAAATACTTGGGGGCATCCTCCAAGGAAGTTTGGTTAGCCCAATATTATTTTTAATTTATGCAAATGTCATATACATAACATAAACACAACACTAGCCAGGTGTACTGATGATAACAGCTGTCATGACACAAAATGCACTTCTGATTTCAGTCATCCAAGCACTAATACATTCACTGGAGTTTTGGTATCAAAAATGAAAAATAGCTATTGTGGTCTGATGCAAAATAGCTATTAATATGTGTGTGGAAAATTAAGTGTGAAGTTGTACTTTTCATAAGGAAAAGAAATCTGCATTTAAACATGACTGGCAGGCTTGCCTGCTAGTCATGGCTTGCCTATGAGCGGGCTACGGCCAAAGAAAAATTTATAATTTCTATGTACACCTGAAAAGAAAATGTGTAAAAACATTTCAATATGAAATGTTCCAGCTTTATGCTGGCTCGACTAACTTCAGCTTTATCTTAGTCTTGGCTCATTTCTTTACTGAAGAACCTCCCTGTAAAGAATATTTTGTGTGAATACTTTAGAACAACTGGGTATCAAATGGCCTTGCTTCTTATTGTCTTTTAGTAAAATATTTTTCATAGAGGAACATCTTGAAAAAGTTATGTAAAGCATTCTGTGACTGAAAAGTGGTTGCGGTAAATAAACTGCAGCTTTGTTCAGCATCTGCCCCTGTGACTTATTATTAGTCATACAGAATGCAAGCCTGATAGGAAACTGTCTTCTGAGCTGAAAAGGGAGGTTTGAATCTGAAGGCAAAAGTTTAATATATGAAATGAAAGCTCTTGATCCAGCTTTGTATCCAGAGATGAATTTACAATCTAAAATGTTTTGCATAATTCTGTTCACAATCTGTCATTTTTAAGATGACCATCTCCCATTGGCAAAAGCCATTCTGAAAATTCTTGGTCTTCTGGATGCAATCTCATATTTGTAGAAAGTGTGCACTGTTTGAGATGTGGCCACAAAAAGGAATTTTTAATTCAGCTCTCAATTGCAGAAGTTTGGTTTCTACGCAAAACAACAGGTAACATGTGTCTCTAGTTGTCTCCTAAAACTAAAGTTTTACCATCAAAAGAAACATTCTGCCCAGTCAAATCTCTCAGAATCTGTCAACAGCTTCCAAAGCGTAGTGAGGTGTGTCATGGTGCATTCAAACTATATAAAAATTTTTGCAGTCTCTAGTCTAACATGGCACGAAGAATTTTCTAAAAGTGGGACAGGTAACTTGAAGTACAGTGCATGATTCTTCCACCATTCAACAACACAGCAGCAATGTCTGTCCATTCAATGGGGACAACGACAAAGCACATGACCCAAACAACATGAAGAATCGTCTTGAAAAAGAAAGTTTTTCCAGCTCCAAATGCATTAACATAAAATGTCTTCAGTGTGTTAGGATTCTCTTCTTGCATAGCTTCCAAACCTGAGTCATAAATTTCTGTTCAAGATTCTACATCTGATTCAACATTTGGGCTTGTTCATTTTCATACTGCACATTGAACAGTGGAACATCAAGAGAAACAGCATCATTCAGCTTTGGCTGAGGACAAAATTCTCCCAGTTTTTTTGGATTTCAAGATTGGCATCTATGGAATGTTAATTGAAACTCTTAATTTCAGGCAGATAAGTAGGGACAAAAGTCTATTTATAGATTATGCACTTACATGTTTTTCAATGTCTTATCTCTTTTTCCTATGTACTATTAATAATGTGGATAAAAAGGTTAAAGTAGCTGCTTATTTGTGATGTCAGTGTTTATGTAAGTATTAAAAACAAATGCTTATTAAAAAAACATGAGAAATTCTGTATGTTGATATATCCATATATGTGTGGTTTTTTTGGGGTGGGTGTGTGTGTGTGTGTGTGTGTGAAAAATAAGACTGTATTGTTATCAGTACTTCTCAAAAAGGAATTAGGTTATCTCCTTTTGTTTTTTGAATAAAATTATTAAACTACAAATTGTAATTACATGTCAGACTATCTTTTTGTATTTGAGCTGTATTTACCCGAAGAGGGATTTCTGTTAGCCCTCCACCGAAGAGTCGCAACCATCATGATTTGTGAGAATACAGAAACTAACTTTTTCGTGTTTTTGATTGTTGTTCTTTACAACTGATTTGGTTTGCTTTTTAAAAAGCCATGATCCTAAAAAAACACATTATGCTGTAGAATAAATTATTAAACTACAATGTAATTACGTCAGACTATTTTTTATTTGGCTGTTTTACCCGAAGAAGGATTTTCTGATTACGTTCGCCTCCACCGAAGAGTCGCAAACTCATCATTGAATTTGTGAGAATACAAGGAACTCACATTTTTCGTTGTTTTTGATTGTTGTTTCTTCTCATCAACACGCATTCTGGTTTTGCTTTAGTAAAAAAAAAAAGCCATATGATGCCTATAAATAAAACACATTATGCTGTATGTATGCGGAAACCTACGTTCAAGATTTTGTTGATGGTGATGAAAACTGCAGAGTGTGGTTCACCACTATGCTAAAACACTGAAATTCTCATAATATGGATCATAATCTGAAGTCACACTAGTGAAAATGTTTGGAGTCACACTAGTGAAAGGTGTTTGGAAGAATAATACTATGCACTTAGTTCGGTTGTCACATAAATATTTTTTGGTGACATATTGCATTACTTCATCAACACTTTTTTGTAATTTTGTAGCTTTTTGGTGGAACTATAGACAATCAGAAAGTACCCTAAAAATTTTTTATATTGGTCATTAAATCTTCATTAAAGTTTTGAATAACGTATTCATTAAATGATATTTATTCAATAATTTTGTGAAATCAGTGAATATGTCAATAACTCTATAAATATTAATAAGCTGATAAAAAACTTTTCTTATGATCCTTTTCATTAGAAGTTTAAAACTTAATTTAGTTTCTCCAAATTTAATTTAACCCTGAAATAAATTTATAGTATTTTAATGTTATTTAAGGCAAGTGACTGTAAAATTAAATATGTATATTTGGGTTGTATAATAATACTAAACATTTGAAAGCTGACTTGTACCAGTTGATTGTTACATATTGAATCAACTGTAGAGCTGCCAAGCCTTCTAGTAAAACCAGGAGGCTCCCACTTTTTCATCACATCTCCTGATCTCCCAGTTTTTTACATACCAAAATTAAATAATCACTTTTATACTTAATGATCACTAAATTTTGGAAGAAAAAGAAATACAATAAGAAATTTTGATGTGAAATTCCTAAAAAAGAAAATAAAAATAGAATTAAAAAAAGCAAGATTTATTAAAAAAAAAAAACCCTATGACAATAATATTATTTAAAAATCTAATTTAAATTGTGCAAACTCATTCTTTAATGTGATTTTTCACCATAATTTATTTTTAGTCTAACCTGTTTTAATCCATCATAGAGATTTGTTAAGCATTTTATGACGATTTAACTAATAAGTAAATATTTGTACTTAATTTTGGTTTAAATATATAAATGGTACATTCCAATGTGTATTTGTGCTATTATATGCACATTAATCGTAAATTTTATTTTCACTATGTTTAAAAGCATTTTGATAAACTTTTTTTTTTTTTTTTTTTTCTTTTTTTTGCGGGTTTTCAATAATTAAAATATAGGAAAAATATAAACCAAATAATTAACCAAAAGTGTAAAGGAAAAAAAATAGTGTAAAAGTGGCATTTTATATGTATGATTTTTTTCAAGTCAGTGGTAGTAGTTTAGTGCTGACTTTATATATCTGTATTAAGTGTAGAAAATCCTTAAAGTAGAATAATTGAAAAATCTTCTGTTTTAATTTCAAAGTTAAATGCGTTGTTATTATACACAAAAAATACTAGATAATACTGCTTTTTTTTGTGCATTTTTGTTTAATTTTTGTTTTGCAACCATATGAATTGCATATTTAGTATAATTTAAATACCCCTTTTAAGCATGCTAAAACATAAATTAACAGGTGTAAATCCGTTTATTATATTGATTTTTTTATTTTTAACTATATTTAAAACTGGATTCCTGTATAATTACTGCAATTTCAAACTGCACTAAAATATCGGTATTTTAAATGATGCTAGGCGAGGGCCATCCAGGAAGTAGATTACGTTTCCGTCTGTGTCCGCTAGGGGCGGGGCTAGCGCGGCCTCTTGGGGTCAGAGCGTTGCGCTCTCAGTCTGCATCTAGCCGTGCTAGTGAGAGGTTCGTGCTGTGCTCCGTTCAATACTGTGACGGTTTGAAATGTCTGCGTTAATTGAAAACCCGCGAGCTGCGAGGTGCGCTCAGTAATAAGGTTTGACTGCAAAAAACTGTAAACCGATAGAAATCTATCGGCAGCTTCGTGAAGTGTATGGGGACAACATTATCACTGAAGGTGGAGTGCGTCAGTGGGTCATAAGATTTCAAAATGGCCGAACCAATGTTCACGACGAAGATCGAAGTGGGAGACCCAGCATAGTGACCACCGAACTTCTCGAAAAAGTCGATGCTAAAGTCCGTGAAATCGAAATTTCACAATAACGGAACTTTCTTTGAGTTTTCCACAAATTTCGCGAAGTTTGTTGCACGAAATCATCAGCGAAAAGCTTGGTTACCACAAGTTTTGTGCAAGATGGATTCCAAAAATCTTGACAGAGGACCACAAAAATCAGCGAATGGCTGCAGCGTTGAACTTTTTGGACGCTTACCATAAGGATGGTGACTCTTTACTCGATCGCATCGTTACTGGTGACGAAACATGGGTGAAACATGTGAACTGTGAAACGAAATTGCAATCAATGAGTGGGGGCACACAAGTTCTCCCCAAAAACCCAAGAAATGCATGCAAAACAATGTCGGCAAGGAAGATGATGGCGACTGTTTTTTGGGACAGAAAAGGTGTAATTTTGGTGGACTTCCTGGGAAAGAGGCACTACAATAAACTCTCAAAAGGTATTGCCAAACTCTCCAAAACTCAGAAGAGCAATTCAAAACAAGCGCAGAGGAATGTTGAGCTCTAGATCTTGTTGATTCACGACAACGCCCGGCCCCACACGGCAAATGTTCACTCGTAAAGTTCTTGAATCTTTTAAGTGGGAGTTGTTTCCTCATCCGCCGTACAGTCCCGACCTGGCACCGAGCGACTTCACCTATTCCCAGCAATGAAGAAGTGGCTGGCTATGCAGCGTTTTGATGACGACGCCAGCTGCAAGAAGAGGTAACGAAGTGGTTGAAGGCGGCAGGCGGCCGAATTTTTCGACGAAGGAATTTCCAAGCTCGTACATCGCTACGATAAATGCCTTAATTTGTTATGGTGACTATGTAGAAAAGTAGTATTTGAGTGTGGCTTTTCATCTGTATATAAAAATTTGTTTCCTATACTTTGTTTATTTTTTTATTCCAAAACGTAATCTACTTTCTGGATAGCCCTCGTATATAAAAGTAACAGTCAGCACAGAAATGTTTGATTTTCATATTCTGCATTTATTTACTTGATTAATTAACATTGTTTCATTTAGGACAAATCATCTGTGATGGAATTCAGCAGCATATTTCAAAAGAATGAAAAATATCTTGATAAATTATTACCCTTTTTAATTTTGAGGTAATTAATATTTTTAATTTAATTTTAATTGCAGCATTTATCCGTATGTTTCGAAATTTATTTTGTATGATTCAGGTTTTCCGTCTTTTTTATTTTTTTCTACTGTTCAATATGATAATATTTTTTAAAATATATTTTAACAATTTTCATCAGATAATACATTTAATCTAAATTTTAATCAAGATGCTAATGTAAGAAATGAATTCAGGTGTTAAGTTGGTAAAAACTTTAAAGTATTTTTTGATTCAGTTGTGACTTCACATATCATCATTTAGAATCACAACAAACTGCTATGAATTTTTGACCAAGATCTTCTCAGTAGAATTTAAGAGACATAAATTTATGGGGTATTAAAAGTGCTTATGTGGTTAGTCACATAAGATAGTTATAAAAAAGCAAAATATATAATGATTTTAATAAGTTCTGCTAGAGTAATTTTAGAAAAATATTTAATCTCTTTAAAAATAAACCAAAGTATCACTTTTTTATTACACTTATTTAATTAATCATTTCAGTCCAACAATACTAAACTTTAGTTGCAATAGAAATTATGCAATGAGCTGTAGTGAATACTGCAGCTCACTATATAATTTCTAGTATAATAACCACTCTTAATTATAATCCTTACAGGATTGGAATGAAGGAAAAGGTTTTAAAGTATATTATTTTTCAGTTCATAAAAGCGTCATACGGTTTAACAGTTTTAAATACAGAGAATTAAGAAATGCCAACTATTTTCTTTCCTTTAGATCTTCTCAACTATGTTTATATTATATTAAATGTTATTTTATTTTGCAGTATTGTTAGCACTGCTGATGTTAGCTTAAATATCAATCGTTCCAATTACCCCTTTTTTATGGTAGGAGATGCAGAAATGGTAGGAGATGCAGATTATGGTAGGAGATGCAGAAATCATTTTTTAGCAGTCATCATATATATTACTTCTGTTTCAAAATTCCTCTTATCTTTCCACTTAATGCAATAAAACCTGATGAATCATTTTCAAAGAACATCGAAAAGATCAAGAAAAGAGTTTAATGATATTATTATTAGATGTAGGTCACTCTAGATAGACTAAACATATTGAATTCTGAAATATTTCCCTACAAATTATTAGCACATTTTCAGCTAAGTAAAACAATTGCATTTTAAGTTTTCATTTGTAATAAAACCTTAAATGAGGATTTATCTTTTAAAAAATTAATGAATAAATAAATGAATACAAAAATAAATAAATGAAAAACTGTAAAATGCTATCAAAAAAGTATTCTATACCGACTAAGTACCCTAAGACATTAGAAAAATATTTTATGAAGAAACTTGTAAAATTTATTAGATTTATCATGAATTAAATGTTTGTTTATTTAAATCAATTGATTGTATTATTAAAAAAAATATTATTAAGAACCATTTTATTGCTATGCGCTTATTTGGTTAGTTAATAACAAACAGATTAAATTTAAGTTAAATATTTTATGTTTTGTTGAATAACAATATACAGTACAAAATCTTTAATCCAGACTCGTTGGGACTTCGGTGATTCCGGATTAGGGGTTTTTCCGGATTATAGGTCATCAATTTAAACCGTAAGATGGCATGCGAAATATAAATAAAAATATGAAATAGTAATTTATGAAATAAAGAGCAATTAGATCTAAAGGTATCAAAAATAAAAAAAAAAAAAAAAAAAAGGCTTAAGATTTATTTGTGACTTTATTAAACATTGCTCATGAGTTGTTTAAGTTCCTTCGTTTTTTGTGGGCCTAATTGCTATCTAACTCTATAAACAGACATAATTTCTTGTCAGTCCACAAGTCCTGTAATGCGCTAGTGTGAGAATACCGACTAACTTGCCAACTGAAATTTTTCGTTTTCAAAACCTCTTGCACTTCTTAAATTCAGAAGCCGGGACATCGAAATCTTTCGCTCCAGATCATTTGTTAAGCTCCAGATAAATGCCTAACAGTTATTTAATTAAAATCCAGTTAGGATCAGCAACCAATTGCAACATTGATCTGACCAACTGAATTAAATATTTTAGCCTAGCTTATACCATCTGTTATACATTAAACGAGCATGCGTAAACGGATATGTGCATGTGTAAACGCATTATGCGTTTATGCATGCGCAGAAAGTTTGTAGCTTTAGTTCCGGATTATAGATAATTTCGGATTATGGATGTCTGGATTAAAGACTTTGTACTCTACTGTTACATTGAAGATAAAAGTATCTTATTTTGAGGAGTGGTGGTACAGTGCTTTTAAATTGCTGAGTTTTGTTAATAACAAAGTCATCAAATTCTCACAAACCACATATATTGAAAACAAATAAATAAAAATTTAAAGAAAGGAAAAAAATTTAAAAATTATGTTTTGAGGTGTTTATGTTTGGGTGGAGAACAACATGTGTTCATAATCTGGTGGATCTTTAAGCCACCATTTTCCCTCAATGTCGGAAACAAATATCTTCATTATTTTATAATGGCTGATCTTCATTATTTTGCAATTTATTTAATAACATCTTCATTATTTAATAACAACTGAATTCAGGCTTAACTAGTGATCTGTGACTAGGAATAAAATTTATTAATTTGGGGTAATATAGTTGGTAAGAATATTTCACTCATAGATGTAGCTTCGGTAGCAATCTAAAGGGTTTTACAAGCAAGTATGGTTCTGTTTTACTGTTAGTTCTGTTTGATTTGGAATAAAAATCCACGAACAAAGGATATGGGTTTTGTGAGTGTTACAAAGAGTTTATTTAAAAAAAAAATTAATCAATTTAAAAAGATTGTTTTGGAGCACTAGAATGCCACACAAACTTTCATTGAATTTTATAAGTATGTGCTAGAGTGTTCGTGTCTAACCTTCCCCTTGATAAAGTTCATACTTGAAGCAATTTAATTTGTTGCATTTTTAGTTTTTATCTTTTAACTGCATTTTCTTCTAAATTTTGG